CTAGCTCCCGTTTTGGGTTGTTTCTACCTATCGAGGAAGGAACCTACTAATACTCCCTAATGATAGAAGGACACAACCATACACGTATGCTCATTTATATATTTAATGTTTGATAGATTCTTAAAACAGTCGATAGTGTAGCGCGCGACAGCACAGTGCCCGGAGTTGGTAATAACGTTATCTCGCAAGGGTAGGCTGGCGGCGCTGCCGATTTTAGCCGTTCCAGTATTGCCTCGTGTCCACGGTGGCACTCATGATCAACCGATGGTGGCACTTTCTGGAACCCTGCTCAGAGCCTATTGGCTCCTCTCTTCTGCAGCGAGGAGTGGCAATCTCTGAACTGCGCAAGGACTGGTTGGCTTGGCGGTGCTGTACGGCGCGTCGCAGAACGCAAAAGCTGGTTTTAATCTGCAGCCCGTGGCACCCAGCGTCGCGCAACAAGCTTCCGCGATGCCAGTGTGGTTGTGTAGCCCTGTAGAGTGCACTTCTGACTGAGCACCGGTGTGCTGCAGGAAAGCAATACTTATGAAGCTCACAGTCATTGCTTTTCCACAGTACGCTGGTGCTCGGTGAAAAATGCGCTTGACTGGACTAAGCCACCACATTCATGCAAGCAATACTAACGTGACAATTGCTTTCATTATGCGTGCTTCTTTCTTTGTTTTTTTTTCTGAGGCTGTTAAATTTGAGATAAAGAAAGCATATTTGCATATGGCAAGCAGGTTTATAAATTCTCTTGATTAGGATACCTGGGCATTGATTTAGAAATAATTTTATGTCATATCTGTCATTTACGTGCCACCCAAATGTAGGCATTTGACTTTTTGAGGCCACGGTTCATAGATATATTTATATTAAAGCAAACTGAGCTTAGAAATTGACAAGTTGAATGTTGGGAACAACCTTCACGAATTTAGCTGAATTTTTGTTTAAGCATGGTGCGATTTTCGTTTAAGCATGGTAAAAGGCTTGGACAAACTGTCCGACATTCGATTAAAAAAATATTCTGCCAAAAGCACTATTTGCTTCGAACTTCGCCAACGTTTCATGCGTGTGCCTGCTTATAAATAGGCATGTGTAGAGAAAAGTGTAAAAAATCTGCTTGGTATGTGTAGGTATTCCTATAGCAGATGGCTACTTTGCCTCACATCATATGTAGATTCATTTCTGTTAATTCTACCTTCCAATGTTTCAAACTAAAGCCTGTGGCTTCCTAGAGTTTAAAATAATGAGAGTCGAATGTAGGTATTTAAGCCTTGTTCATAAAGAATGCAGCAATTATTGTAAAGAGTTGTATATAATTGCATGATTATTTTGCGAATTGTCTAAAGTGGCGCTTTGTGGGATGTTTTGCTGGAACGAGAGTTCTTAATCACAAACAAACTGATTGTTGGGTTGCACATGTGAGCCTCATTGTCACGCATGAAAAACAATAAGATGAATGTAGAACTGAAAATAAACATCAGGTGAACCTGTGCGTGCCACTAAAACAAAACCGTGGGTTGAGCGACAGCTGCGAAAGAGCAACACTCTCAAAGCAGCGTGCTGCCGCAGCTTTTCTGCGCACGGTGCGTTCTGGAAGGTCATGAACCAGATCACACGATAACAGCCAAGGATGAACTGGAGCTTTTCAGGACAATGTCGATTGACAAAACAACTGGGCTGATGGGGTTGTAGCCGGCGGCGGGTCCTCCTTTGCCCATTGTTTGCCGCCGGTTAATTGCGAGCAGTGCAATCAGGCGGCTGTGAACAATGGGCGATGGGTGGAAATGAACGCAGTTAAACGCCCCAAAAGCTGGTGTGGTGACACATGTTTGTCGAAGAGAAACCTGCTGTATAAGTAAAACCAATGAAGCAAAGTTTTTGTTTTTTGACATAAATGTAGGCGCTGCGGCTCTGTTTTGCCTGCACAAAACTGGGCATATAAAAAATGTCAAATTACGCATAAACATAAAAGATAAGCTTTTTTTTTGTATAGCTTTTGAATGAACAATGCTGTTGTAAGGATATTTTGTATGCACTCAGTAACTCTGACAGTGAGAGGGCAATTGTTTTTGCCAAATAGCTGCTGGCAGACTTTCGCATGGTTGCACATCGCAACTGCATACATCGCCGATTGCGGCTCGGTTCACATGTCCGTATGAATTAATTTGACAGGAAGTTTGAAAATAAGTGCACAAAAACCACATTGCCATAAAAAGTTGTCCCAACTGCATTCAGTTGGCGTGAGCACGTCAATACTGTTTTGCATTTTGCTCAAACTGGCATTATTGAATGCCAATGTTAATTTAATTGACTAGGTTGGTGCCCAAAATTAACGCATTTGACCATGTCGGCAGTCTTAAGTTTCAGCCTTTCGGTTGAATGAAAAACAATGAGAAGTACCGATGATTACTTGTCTGTACGAATTTCATCGCACTCTCTATAATACATACACTGCATTCCGTACTTCACATACATATGTCCATAGTTAACTTTATCGATCCTCGTTATTGCAGTTCCCACGCTCGTCCTCAAAAAGGTTGGGTTGCTTTGAAAATCGACTCCAATGTCTACGTTTACCTGTCTGTTGCAAAGCAATCGAGTCCAGAGGGTCAAATGCGAGCCATCGTGTTCGGCGTTGTTTGGTTTTTTTTTTTATTAGAAGATGGACTGCTGCGCAGGGCAAGCTAACACTGGGCTTGAGAGCCACGCTCGTTTGCCATTCAGATTGTGATCTGTGCTGCATCGAGCCACCACCGAACGCATTCGCTGCCCTTATAGTGATTTCTGAAGCGTTTGGAACTTGGCATGGGTGTCCCGGTTGTTATATCGCCTCATGGAAAAAGTTATCATATATGCCGCCTGCAGCTCAAAGTACAGTGCCAACTGCAGACTGAAAAATGCCACTCGCAACGCTGCAACGTTACGTTGCACCCAAGTCAAGTGGCACTCGGTCTCTTAAGGTTTTTCTGCAAACTTATATACAGTAAAACCTTGTTATAACTAAGTTGAAGGAGCGGTCGTAATTATTTTGTTATAACCATTAGTTTGTTATAGCCACTGTCATTTCTTCCCACTATTAGCAAGCAAGGGGAATTATGATTGCTTTGTTACATCCATTAGTTTGTTATATCCCATTTTGTTATAAAGAGGTTTTACTGTAGCTTCACACAGGGCGAGTTTTCACACGGTACATATTTTGTTTTTTCGTGAATGGTACATCTACCGTACAGCTCGTGATATTTACCTCACTCCAATGCATTCTCAGTCCCGCAGCTGCTACCAGAGTCCCGACAAAGCCAACCTGTTTGCCTACTAGAGGCCCCCTGGTCGGTGGTCGTGTGACGTCTGCTTCGTTTCTATACCTCTCATGGCAGCCGCATGCGCAGCAATACAGTCGACTCTCATTAATTCAAACTCTCTTAATTCAAACTTGCGGATAATTCAAACTAACATGCAGGTCCCATCCTATGCGTCTCTATGGAAGGAAACTCCTGGTAATTCAAACTTTGCTTTATTCAAACAAATTTTCGGTCCCCCTCGAGTGTGAATTAACGAGATTCGACTATCCATGAACATCAGAAAAGTTTTTGCATGCCTGCGTTGAGGAGGAGCAGTGCGCAGAGCATCACATGCTCCAGCATTCTCCCTCATACTGTTCCTAATACTAGTACATGGTGAGACACATAAGAACTTGCAGAAGGGTAGGCAGGCCTCTTGGACTACGAGGCAACAACTAAAATGGCCGTCTTCCCTGGAGGCAAAGAAGGCCTAGCAAAATCTAGCGCCACGAAGTAAGCTATGCTTAGAGTATCGACACTCCGTTCTTCGATTTTCGTGGGAACACCGCCGTCTTTGTGCTTGGCACAGGGCGGGCGCCATTTGCGATCGTCACAATTCGAAAATGCTACTTCTTCGGCTTTAAATTCGGTTCCAGGAAGCTCTGTCAATATCGTTTTGCTATGTTCCGAACTGTTTTCATAATTTCTGGTGGACAGAAAAGCATTTCCTGTAATTTCAGGTTAAGCTTCAGATAACTGGCAACCATGATTCTGAGCACCAAGATGGCTGGAGTGTCGTCACTCCTTAAGCATAGCTTGCACAGTGGCTCTAGTGAAATTCCCAATCTTTTTGCGCAAAATAAGCCACTTTCAAAGATCCCTGCTTGCAATACTGCGTGCGTTGTGTTATGCGACCTCTTTGGCCACGGAGACGATTGGCACGGTTTCGTTTTCGATTGCCTCGTCAATAAAGTAGTGCATCTCGACAGTGCATGAAAACGAAGTCGGCGCTCGCTTGCCATGCGCCCGTTTGTCTTTGTGAAAGCCCCCGTCAACAAGCAAACCTCCGGCGGCCGTAAGGACCGGCCAGGTCTTAGCGAGAAGTGGGAGTACGGCTGTCTTTGTCCCTCACCTTTCTGGCGGCCGGGCAAGCAGTCCAGAGTGCATCGTGACCCTGCCGCCTCGCAGATAATTTAAGAAGCCCAGTTAGGAAAAAATGGGATGGGTCGACCGGCCCATTATATTTCTTCTTCCGCTTGCCTTCGTTGTCTTGTTTGCACGTGCAAACCCCCCCCCCCCCCCCCCAAAAAAAAAAAAAACAACAAACAACGGGCCCAGGCATTTGAGTCATATTGGTCGGTAACACCTACAGTAGTTTAGATTTGAGGAAAGTCGCACATTAAAAAATGCAAGCTCTACATTTGGTAGCGACGGGATGTCGGGAAACCAAAACTGTGGCTAAGAGGTTCCCAAGATGCTTTGCACGGCAGTACGCCGCTAGGATCGCTCCGACTTTGCGAGAGGTCGATTACCGCGCATTAGACAGAGGGTGCTTCGTATTCCAATTTCCTAGGAGCATCAACATTGTACCTTGGGCATTACTTAGCCAGGGATGAAAAGTGTTTATCTTTTTCTCTGCTGGAAAAATATCTGGAAAACAGTTAAGATTCTTTCTTGTTTGAAGGCAGTCCCTTTTAGGTGCATCCTGTGCCTAATGTCCGCTCGTTGCTTTTGCAGTTTCCATGGGACATTGTAAAGAAAGCTTGGGAAGTTGGGCTCATGAACCTCTCGATTCCTGCAGCGTATGGTAAGTACAAAACTCGTGGTTTCTGCCTCAGTGTGCTTCCGTCTCCTTTTGATGGATCCGACAGTATTGCATGATTGTCTATAGCATGTATGCAATAAAACCTCGTTAATTCGGATCTCATAAAACCGGCAAAAATGTCCGAATTATCCAAAAGTCGAATTATCGAAAAGACAAGGAAAACTGCGCGGAAACGTTTTCCTGTGACATACCTTCATTTTGAGAAGAAATCTGTTATGGCCGCCCGCTTTCTGGACGACATTTGGGCGGAGACGGCAATTTTCCTTAGCGCGTTCGAGTGCTCCACATTCACACTGTCAGAGCTCCGCATCCCGTGTGCTGACGATTTAGCACAGCAAGGCCTCTTCTAGTTTCGGGTTCATCACCTTCCACAGCCGCTTTTTTTTTGCGTTGAACTTTTCGCTCTCGAAAGCCTGTAGGATTTCGGCCTCAATTTTCACGTACATGGCCAAAGTGCTTCTCTTGACGTCGTAACTTTTCATCACTTTTAGCCGAGAGACGCTGTCTTTCAAGGCCCTCAGTATTTCCACTTTCGTCGCTAAATTCTTGGCCTGGTGCAGCTGCAATGGAAAACAAGTAGCACAACTGACCGATGATCGGAGCAGCAAAATCGCAACACCCGGCCACCCGGTGCTATTTTTCCCGAGCGCGCCGATAGCGAGAGTGCCAGTCACGTTGCATGTTTCAGTGCGGGGGTGGCCGGCAGAAAATTGAGGGATAAGATAGCCGGCTTTCTGCCGGCCATCCCGCGTTGAGGCATGAAACGTGACTGTCACTCTTGTTATCGGCGCGCCTGGGAACAATAGCACCGCATGTTGCGATTTTGCTGCTCCGGTCGTCAGTCACTTGTGCTACTCTTTTTCCGCTGCAGCTACACTTCCGCCGCTTCCATGCCAGGAGAGTAGCGCACTGACGCACGGCAATTCATAGCGAAACTGGTGCGAAACACGGAGAACCAGAAGAGCGAAGAACCATGGAAAAACCAAAAAAAAAACACGTGCGCACCTCGGATAGATAGTGGTCATACCCTTTGGAACAGATGGTAGCTTGTGCCACCTGCTGAATTCGTTAGAATTCAGCAGGTGGCACAGCGCATCTGTTCCAAAGGGTATGACCACTATCTATCCGAGGTGCGCACGTTCAGAGGGGACGCGCCACGTTCCCTCTGAATTAAAGGAGTCATGAAATGCTTTTCCAACTTTTTTCTGTTTAGCTTTCCTCCTCAACTCATAAATCGCGCATTCTACCAAACAGTTCAAGAAGACGGAAAGGGGGAGTCCCCTCTTGCTCGGACTCTCGTTTGTGTAATCCGGACACATCCATTCTCCCCCTAGAAGATTAGCCCATCGCTTTAAATTCAGACAAAAGTTGCTTTCCCCACGCCATTCATTTGAAATTTCAAAAAGCAGCAGACTATTTCGTACCTCCTTCCCTTCGTAAGCTCTCTGCCTCTTCACTGGGATACATCTGCGGACCCCGCAGTGCGTCACCAGGTCCCCGTCACACGACACCGGAGCCCACTTATTCCCTTCACCCCTAAGCTGACAGTGCTGTGGAAGCTACATGCTCCTTGGGCCAACTTCACTTTTTCCATGTGATCACGCTCTCTCGCACACAACCAAGCGCAGAGAATGAGGGCCGGCAATGAAAGGGGGGCAGCTGATTGGTCCGGCAAGTGCGCAGCTTCTACCACAATGTCAGCTTAGGGATGAAGGGAATAAGTAAGCTCCGGTGTCGTATGACGGGGGCCTGGTGATGCGCTTCGGGGTCCTCGGATGTACCACAGTGAAAAGGCAGAGAGAGAGCTTACGAAGGGAAGGAGGTACGAAATAGTCTGCTGTGTTTTCAAATTTTCGTACCAATAGTCAGGCTTTTGACTTCCTACCTTTTTTCTTTTGGCCCGCTGAACGATCTGCTATTAGTAAAATCCCAATATAAATTGATTTATTCTAGCCCAAAATTCGTTTCATGGGCCCTTTAATGAGCGTTTGGTGCCATTGAATAATACACTTGTTTGACGGGACCTGATCGGCAGTTCAAATTATCCCAATTTCTGAATTAGTGGGGCTTGAATTAACAAGGTTTTACTTATAATTCATTTTACTACAATGTTTTGTTTGGCTGTAAGATCTAGTTGTCAGCAGTGGCCCAGTGTTTTATAAAAAGCTCAGAGAGGTCTCTAGTACCATGGGGCAGAGGAACGAAGGAGAAAATGCGCCAAGAATTGAGAACACAACTTTGTGTACTCTTTTGCACAAAAAGAATGTGACCAGGTTCTCGGGGGAAGAGGGTTGATGAATACTAGGAAAATGGAATAAACAGAAAACTCAAGGTGCACATCGGCCCTCGGAACTTGCGATTCTCGAAAGATGGTCAATAATTATAGCTAATAACAACAATGTAAGCGTTCCCAAAGAGGCTTGTGAGGTGGGAATTTAATTTTGTTTGAAGATAATATTAAGCAAATCTTACAACGTGCTACAGTCAAACCCGTTTATAACAAACAGCAGGATACGCTACGATCAATTCGATATAGCAAGTAGTTCGATATAGCAAAAGCCATTTACAACGAACTTCGACAACGTGTTTGTTGGAAGGCGGGAGCTTCTCTTTCTTTCTCATCTCTTCACTTCGACCTTGTAACAAAGTGCTGGAAAGTTTTTTTTTATTTTATGCGTGCAGAGTTTGTTCTTTTTTTGCTTATCTCTCCTTCTGAATCGCTTCTCTTTGTCAATTTTGTTCGCAGCTTGAACTTTTGGAATTTTCTTTCTTTCCTAGATTTGCCTTTTGTGGGAAGGGACAGTCTAGAGGACGATTGACTTTTTTGGAAGCCTTCCCGGTGGGCAAAAGTTTGATATAGCCAATGTGTGGTTCGTTATAAAAAGTACTTGCATTTTTATTTCAATTTTCCGTGAGTTCGATATTGACAATAATTCGCTATACGTGGGTTCGTTCTAAACGGGTTTCACTGTTCTTTTTTTTTCTTTTTTTACCACAGAATGTGTTTAAGGGCTGGGATCCCAAGAAAAGTGTGACAGAACACTGCGAAAACCGTTACGAAGTGTGTAACACATATTTGAGAGGACATTGTTTACAAAAGAGTGGTAAAGTGTGAGGAAAGAACAAAAGTCTAAACATGCTCATACGGGAATTGAACCTAAACCCTTCGATTGTAAGCCCATCGTTGTACCACTGCGCCGATTAGTGGATACAGACGCGAAGCTAACCGGCTTTATCTCTACGTCGGTGGTCTCTACTAACTGTTTAAATGCCGAACTCCGGAAATTGGACACCTGCATTCGATGGTCGCGTTCGACGTTAGGCCAATGTATGTGAGAAAACTAGAAATCCAAGACATGCCCACTGGCATGTAAAAAGGGGCAGAGTTGAATAAAATAATGTGATGTAACCAAAGAAATATTATAAAAAAACTGCAATGTCCATCACAAACCCCGAAGGATGCCGCTAAACACATTCTGTGCATGCTAAATTTATCTGTAGGATGAAGATAAATTTAGAATTTTTTTTTTTATTGCAGGCAGTGGTGTTTCTTGGTTGCACAATAACCAAATGCAGCACTTGGTTACCACGGCAACCAAGGAACTACAGTAGCATTCTGACGTGAGTCCTTGCTATGTGGTCCAACACTATTGAGTGAATCGGCCCTGAAAGTACTGCCAGTGTCCCAGATCGTCTTAATTTTGTTAAGCCGCGCAAGAATCTGAAAATCCTTCTATCTGCTTTGATCACTGGTCACTTCAATCATAACATGAATTTACTATTTTATCTTTTGTGTTATAATGAATCTAGTCTCGTGATACTTCAGTACGAGGCTTTTATGGGAGAAACACCGCCCCAAAAAAAAACATTTAATTAATCATTATTGTTTTAATAAATTCATCATCTTTAATAACTTAGTGGCTGGACTGTACGTAGATGTAACAAAGCCCTTGAATTTTTTTTTTTTTTTTTTTTAGATTCAGATGAGGAGAAAATAAGCAATGAATCGCGTTGAAGGGGTCAGCAAATGTTTGTGGGTTCTGGCACCTAAATGTTGTCGAATTTAGATTTCTGGATCATAAATACCTTAATTTCTGTGCCAAGTTAGAGTCATGGGGCTGTCATTTTTGCTTACTGTCAGTAAAATTGTCGTTGGTGAGAGTAACTGTGCCATGGACACAAAAGGGCTAAGAGCCGGCCCTATAAATGTCCTGCATTTTGAAGGCACTCAGCAGCAACTCTGCACCACCTGAAGGCATGGATGCACTTTAGCAAACCATTTGCGCATGAAACCGAGAGGACCCGAACGCGTCGACTGCACTGTACTGCAGCAGCGGTGATGGGTGGCAACGGCGGTCCCCAAAGCTGCATTTATTTCGTGCACCTTGCCCTGCACATAGTTTGAGTGTGAGAGTTCACATTACCTAGAAAAAAATGATCATGCATGCTTTGCAGGGCCATGCACTCTATTCGATGGACTGAGTCATATTCGTGTAGCAGAAATATGTTGTGGTGGTCGTAATAAATCATTGACCAGGGAAATGAGCCAAGACTTAGTTCTATTTTATTGGATGGGCATTATTGTAGTAGAGGAATTTGTTATAAAGGCATTTGACTGTACGCTAATGCCGTAATTCAGGCTAGCCGTTTGAATGAAGAAAAAGAATGCGCGATCGAGGGAATAGAAAGTGTTATGCAGTTGAACCTCTTCATAACGAACACTGATATAGCGAATTATTGGATATAGAGAACTAACCAGGAATTTTGTTTGGTCATGCTTTATTTGGATGGGAGTTCTAGTCATACAACAGAACCGAAACCATAAAATCTGATACGCTATCGGTTCAGCGAAGCAATTCCTGCTTTTCTTGCGTCACAAAGTACTATGAAGGTTATTGAAAAGTAGAAAAAAAATATAGAAAAGTAATTTCTAAACGAAAAATTCCAAAAGTTTAGATCGCCCGATGTTCAAAGATGCGCATTTCGGGAGGTAGTGCCACCCAGGAATTGAGCGAATAACGGCGGTTGCGCCGCTGCTGGCCTCTATGCAAGGCATGAAGAACCAGTGCAGACTAAAGCCAACCGTCAACGACGCCACTCGTAGCTGAGCTGCAAATGGCGACAAAGCGAAATGCTGTTTCTCTGGAAACAAAAGTGAAGGTTTTGAGGGCGGTGGACAGCGGTTTGAAGAAAAACGACATCACTGCGGTTTTCGAGCTTGTACCAAGCACATATCTACCATCCTGAGTGCGGGGAAGAAGTTCAAGGACTGCTGTGCAAACAACAATGTCAAGACTGACAGAGAGGGTTTTAGGCCTTGACTTGACTTGGACGTGGAAGAGGCTCTATTCTCATGGTTTAAGGACGTAGGGGCGCCAATATGGCGATGTCTGGTCAGCTTTTGTAAACGAAAGCAATCAGTCTGGCATGTCTAGCGTGATGGCTCCAGGTGAAGAGGCACCAGTCCAAGATCACGTCTTCAAATAAGTGGAGTAATAGATCCAGCTATCATCGTTTCTCGTGTTGCAAAGTGGTGTCCTCATTCTCCGATCTATTTTTTTAGTGCTGCGTAGTGACAGGTAAGGATGTTGTGGTCCGCGATAGCGCGTTTTTATGTCTTAGTGCTATGCACATTCTTGCACGGGCTTGATTGCAGTAACATTCACGTCAATTGTTGCGTTTATTTTATAACGAATATCGCATACAGCGAACAAATTTCCACTCCCGATGCTAGTTTGTATAACGAGGTTCGACTGTGTTACACAGACAGAAAGTAAGCACTGCATCAATATCTACACATGTACAAAGGAAATAATCACTTGAGTGTTCTTGATGGTGACACCAAATCATGAGAGGAAGGTAAGCATGCATGCTTGGAAATTTTTTTTTTCCCTTTTTTTTTTTCAGATATTTTGTCTTAGGTTTTGCATGGCGACCCAGCTAGATAATATACTAGGTAAAAAGATGACAGGCCTCTCTTTCAAACTGCCTAAGTACCAAGAAGAATTATGGGAGTGTCTTTTAGATTTTTGCTTGTTTTAGGTTGGTTTTAGATTTTTGCATTAAAAAAGTTGCTGTGCCAGCATATGCAATTTATTTAGCCAAACTCTCCTCATGCTCCTTTGTGCTCGGGTAATTTAGCGAGGTAATTCGGGCTCACTTGAAATCTTTTTGCCGTGGTATTTTGTGACCAAACGTCCTTGCTTGGCTGTCCCGCTCCCAGGTGGTGCCAATTTCACTCTTTTCGACCACTGCCTGATGTCGGAGGAGGTCTCCTACGGCTGTGGGGCCTTTGGCACCATAATCGAGGCCACTAGTCTGGGGGTAAAGGACCTTCCCTGGAGATTGTCATCTTTGGCATGCCCCACTTTGTCGCGTTCTAATGGTCCAAGAGGAGCAGGTGTTGCACTGCGCAGGTTTTGGGGGAAGTCCGCCGCCGTGCCGGAAGAGGGTGGGAACGGCCGGTGCGAGGGCGAAACTGGTGTCACCTGGGTTGCACTCGCTTCCTCAGTCACTGAAAATAAATCTGCAGTCTTACATTTTTTTTTTTTTCTTTTTGGGAAGTTAGTGCAGAGACTGCTAGATGTCCTCGAGCAAACCCCTGTTTCCAGCGAAGGTTTTGGTAGAACAAAAGTTTAGATACCAATGCACACATTCCCGCGGCTTGCGGGCTACTCCCTCCCGGCGGTGGTGGCCGTTCAAGGGGCCATTTCCCTTCGTCGAGAAATAGATTTGCCAAATTTGCACCAAATGGTACTATCGCTCGCGATGGTTTCGGCGCATCAGCGTTGCTCTCGGACTATGGTCGGTGACCATAGTCCGAAAGCAACACTGATTGGGTTAAAGAGACGGGGGAAACTCTTCCTACTTCTTTCCCCTTTAGCGGAGTGAACGCTGGAAGGGCGGTCCCCTTCTCCCAGGCATTCGCTCCACTAAAGGGGAAAGCGGTGCGAGGGGTTTCCTTCAAGCTCTTAACCTATCGCCGACTGTAGAGTGCATCATACATAGAAACGTGGCCCAACGTTGTTGGCCAAAATTTCAACTATGCATTTTGCCTCGAGAGTGCCCCCCACATGTTTTACGAAGTGGGTGGGGATCTGCTTGCTGGTGGAACTCCGTTGGAGCCCTTTGCCCGCTGATCTCTGTTGTAGTAGGCTGGATCGGGGATCGAGGCCTGTCTTGTTGGGACCGTTTGGCACCACCGGCAGTTGTCGCTTGATACCAGCTAGCGTGCGGGACTCTATGAAAAAAACAAGAAAGACTGCCGTTTCCCCCGTTTCTAAGCTATTGTCGGCACTGAAACTTTTTTGCTGCTTTTTGGAAAGCCTGTCAAACAGCCTGTGCACAAACAATAAAACTGACAGCCCTTGCAGTTCTTATAAATACATGTTTTGTAATCAAGAGTGACTCCGCTGGGCGGAAAATGAAACGCAGCCCAATGAGACGAGTTACCTAGAGCTACCGCATAGTCGATGGTAGTTTCGATAAGTTGTGTTTAGCAGACTCCAAGCTTGAAGGCTTTGCTACGCAGAATTCGCTCACTCCCAGAAAGCCGCTGTCAACACGGAACTTTTTCGACATTCATCAACTTCTGAGCCTCCACGAGGACGGTCTTATTGATGGCAAGTTTCTTTGTTTACTCCGCTACAAGAGCAAGCTTGCCAACTCAGCCATGGGTGCTCTCGCACGTTCGATTTTTAATGCGAAAGCATTAAATGGGGGCTCATGGAGTGGTGTGGCGTTATCTGAGCTTGGAAGCCGGCATTATCGTTATTTCTAGCAGCGACAAACGGAACCTAAATTCCCCTGAGCGAGACAGGACCTAAATTCCCATGGGCCGTGATTGGTCATGTGGTCATGACCAATCACGATTGGTCATGACCACATGACCAATCGGATGGGTCATGTCGGCTGGCCCCTTGTTAAGGGGCCAGCCGAACTGCTGGTGGCGCAGCGCATAGAGTAAAAGCACATCGAAACAAAGTAAATGAATGGGTTTGAAAAAAAAATTTCGGTCTGGGTGGGATGTGAACGCGGGCCTCCGGGGTGCGAAATGAGCACACTTCTCCGACGCCACGGCGGCTCCACGGTTCCGGCTGATTAAAGGTGTGTCTAGTATGTGCGTCATGGTTTTTTAATAGGCGTTAAAGGGATGCTCGATAAATACCCATTTGATCTTCAAACACCTGATATAATAATCGCAGCACATCGTGAAATATTCGCCTTCGAGCACTGCGTAGAAGCTACAATATTCCTACTCTTGTGTGTTTCTCCCATAGACTCAAATGGCCAATAATGGTGCCACCGACTGGCTCCTGATCTGCAATCCAGCCTATTACTATAGAGATCAGTGCCTTTGCCACATCCGGTGGTAGCAAGTGCTTCAAGGGAGCATTGCAATATGTGTAGTGTTTATGGGGTCAACTCTTCGCACTCCTCTAGCCTCACTGGTGGCATTACGCCAATGACGCCAATGTGTTCATATGAGACCGGGACGTCAAATGACACCGTGACGTCTATGAGGACAGTGCCTATGCAATGCACCGAAGAGATGGGATTTTCTTTTTACTTCACCTTTTTCTTTTCTATTTATCCTTTTTCTCGCTTTCCTGACCCGTCTTCTGTTACCCTTGTGTCCTCGTGCCAGGTGGGCCCGACTTGAAGTGTCTCGACTCGTGCCTGTGCGTGGAGGAATTTACATACGCCTGTTCGGGCATCGCCCTGGCACTCACAAGCACGGAACTCGGGGTAGGTCGCGCCTCGACGCTTTCTGCAACCCACTTGACACCAGCCTACCCACTCCACCACTGCCTGTGCGTGCGCAAATTGTCGAATTGAGGGGGGGAGACCTAGATGGTCGAGTACTCCGAGGAAGCGATTTTGAAACGAGAGCATTTGTGCACCTGTTTGCTTCCTCGACGTGCTCTGTCTTCAGTAGGGCGTCAACTCTATCTAAATTGCTCAAACTACAATTTGTTAATTTTTTAGATATTGTTTCAAATTGGGATGCTCTTCTCATATTTGGGGGTATGAGCCAGTCTTGCCCGAGCCCTATTTTTAATGCGAAAGCACTAACTGGTTCCCTTGAGCGAAGCCGGCGTTGTCTGCAGCAGCGAAAAATGGCACCTGAATTGGCTGAGCGAAACGGCGCTTTAATTCCCATTGGCTGAGCGAAGCAACACCTAAAGTCCCATTGGCCAAAAGTAGAGCAACGCAGATGCCTCATTGCGGAAGCCGGCGGTGTGCTCAAGGTAAAAGTGGACGCGCCTCAGGGAAAATTCTTGAGGACGCCTAAGCACTTCTTGTGAGTGTTGAATGCGAAAGCATTCTCGGCGCCGAGAGGAGCAAAAGCGGCCCCAACGCCGGCAGGGAGTGCAATGGTGCGCCGCGCAGACTGCCCCACTGTGCATTCTGAAACTTAACAACGATGGTGGATTTCGCCTACACTCAGCACATTCTTACAAGCAGCGCTCCACATCTTCCTATCGCACACGGCATTGCGGCGGTGACATCACACTTTCCCACTGCGCAGGTGTGACGAACCTTGCCAGCTTCACAATGGCTTCCGTGACAAAGCATTGCGTTGCTGTGCTTTTCTTTGCGTTTCATTTTTAAAGTGTGTCCGCTTTGACCTTTAGTGCACTCGCTGGCTTCCGTGACAAAGCATCTGATATGACATGTGTAGGAATGCGAAAGCATTCCTACACATAAGCAGTCTTAAGTGTTTAAAGGAGGACCAGCAGAAATATTCTTCCGCCTGGCGGAAAGTCTTCCTCGCCCTCTTTCTTTCTTGTATTGTAGCACGGCGAGGCGAGGGGAAAGGGCCCCTTTTGCGCCGGCTTCTTCTGAGAGGATTAGCCGAGAAAATCCCCATTCTGAGCGACGGGCGATGGGTGCGGCAACAGCGACCTCGTGACTTACAGGTAGCTTCAGCTCCTATCGCCCTATTTTTTGCCGCTCACCAAGCCTAGCCCCTCGGGTGTAAGTTTTACGGAGCTGCAAGGCTGCGCCCACGCAGTCACCGAATTTCAGCTGCCGAAGGTCTTTGGTTTAGCCCGTGGCAAAGTAAACGGATACTTGAGAGCTGCGATGCATCCCCGCACCCATTGAAGGAACGTTTCATTGACATTGACATTTTTACGCAAGGCCCATGCAGAATTTCGTGTATAAGAACAAATTGATGCCTCGTAAGTTGGTGCCCAGCGGAAGCACCCTTTACCGAATCGCTTGTTTTAAAATAACTTTTCAAACATAAAAATAAAACAAAATAATACCACTTTTTTGGGGGCCACTAAATTTACTGATTTACTATGTTAGCGTTGATTGTGCAGCGGTATGCGTGCATTACGCGACCCTGTTAGCGCAAACACGCGGCGCTTTTTGCTATTTTCCCCAGCAATGTATCGACTCGCACTAAAATCTACCGCTTAGGTTGGATACTCGCATTAACAGATTCCTAAACATCGTTCACTTCTAACAAAAAAAAAGTGGGAAACAGCGGCGATAGTTTGTGGTAACTGCGTGGCGTAGGGTACCTAAAAGTTTTTTACAATGTTAAATACAATTCTGTGTCACGTTAAAAAAAATTGTCTGCTTTTGCTTTAGTTTCTTTGAGACACCACAAATACTTCGAAGTGGCGGCCCGTGCTATGGTACCGATACAAGCAACGTTGAATCATAACACGACACGCTAGACTCGCCAAAAAGGGTTTTAATAGGCAGTTTTAGTACAGCGTTGCTGGCCCATACGCAATAGTATAACGTACGCTAAAAATGACCTGCTCGGACCGAATTTAGTTGTGCGTTACGTTTTCGAGTCCGTAGAATTCCGCGTGCTTATTGCAACCATGCTCCTGGAAAGAAATATTGAAAAAGAAAAAGTATCCAATCATTTTATTTCAGATTAAACCAAGCCACAGCTGCCTCGTCAAGCGCGCTTTTCTGCGAGTACAGAGGCTACGAGTACGAGTGCGTAGCCAAATTCGATCACGGAGCCTCCGTCAGTCGTCCCGTGAAAATGGCACCGTTTATCAATGCTATCAATGCTATCAATCAATGCAACTGAGCGAATAGGGGGCATTCACTGGACGCCATATTTGAGGGTGCTGTTGAGAGCGCATGCTCAGAACGAGCTCACATTAATAGGCTGCGAAGACCGGCAATCTTGACGGTGCGGAATGCACGTTACAAAAAGAACTGTGGAAGCTTGTCATCCGCACGCGCTCAGCATTTGCGCGCACGGCTATGGCCGCCAGTAATACTGTCTATAGACCTAGCGTCAAGCAGATCGCAGCGTTGATGCACAATTCGAGCGGTGAGCACTT